TTCTGATCTAGCTGATCTTAAAAATATCACAAAGCACATTTGTCTTTAATTTTAGAATCTTTATAACTTAAATTATTTTTCTATTAACATAAATCAAACAGAATATACATCAGCAACAAAGATTATAAACGGCAAAAACACAGGTTCTTATTTCCAATCTTAGGGAGGGATTAATAAAGATGCTACACTAAAAACTTGGCTGTTAGTATGGCAACTTATACATGTACAAAGAGATTGTAATATTAACTCAAAAAATAAATATATATATAAGTATATATAAAAATGTTGAACAGAATGACAGCAAATCTGGTTTTAATGAGCTGTGTGATGGAGCACAATGAAATGATGCTGCGACCCGTCTGAGCAGTTCTGAAGGAAAGGCACCTGCAGAACACGACTCATCCACTGGAAGCTGTCCTCCTCGGTGGCGTCGGGTCTCTGCTCAGCCACCACCACGATCCTCTCATCTCTCAGCACCGTCACAGAAAACACAGCTATCCTGCAGCAACGGAAGAGAGAAAAACACCCTCAGCGTAGCTTAGACACAATTACAACTCTAAGTAACTAAACCTAAAGTAGATCATCCACAGGAAGACTTTACTGAAACACAATCTGTCTGTACTGGTCCTGTAAGAAGCAATACAAAAACAGAAGGGTGTGAAAACTTGAAAACGAGTGCATTGAAAAACTGCACATAGAAATAAAAAGACTTAAAAAATTCATAGAAAATTTTAAGAGACACAAAAAACGAAACATAGATTTTTAAAAACAGTAAAATTTAAATATGTGTTAAAATATATAATTTGTTGGAACTAAGCTGGAAAAATAAATATGATGGTAAATTAAATTATAAAACATGGGGTAATGTTGTCCTTTTTTAAATGAAGTGGTGCATTTTAAGTGCACATTTTAGTTTATTTACTGGACCATTTATAAAGTTTTGCTTTTATTTTTAATATGTCAGTTTCGGTCCTCCGTATACATCACATTGGTGGAAACAGACCACAATGCATCGCAGCCTGAGCTGAAACAGTGAGGCTAAYGCTAACGTCTACAGCTCATTACTGTGACTCCTTAAAATGTCTGAATGTCTCTAATATGAAGGTGTGTGTTATGGTAATATTCATCTAACAATGATAGAAATACGTGGTCCAAGAATGAAGGTACTCCGTGAGATGATCAGCTGAGTTTTATTGCAACAACAGGAAACACAGAG